TTGATTCGGTCATTTTGCTCTATGTCTTTTCTCCCTTTTATACTTCATGGACGATCTCTTTGTGATCAACCGCCTAAAAACTACTTGATCGTTCTGCAACTGCTCACTTTCCTCATAATAGCCAGCTTGTCATGAAAACTGCCTTATTTAACTGCAGCCATTACTCTTCGACGTTTAACCGTTTTCGATTGAATTCCTTGAATCGTGGAACGTGAAGGGGCTGCATTACTAATTGCTTTGATAACTGCACTTCTTGATAACCACAACGCTTTATGTTTGTTAAGACTTTAGGCGACTTGAAGATTTTGGCGAGAATAGAGTAATAGCTCTGGGCAACTGCATAGCACTCCATTCGCTCAAATTCTGGGCGACTTGCAATCTTGGGCGATGACGTTACAACGTTCTTGGGCCTTCATCTTGAATTGTTTGATTGGGCTTCGTTCTTTGGGCTAACTGATTTGGGGATTCTTCAATTGGGCTTCATTCCTTGGGCCGTTCGATTTGGGCTGAATTTTTATGTGTCAACAGTTTCATTTCTTTATTCAATTTCGAATAATATAGCTTGCAAACATTTTTTAGAAATTGATTTGTGATTGTGATTTAAGTCAACAATTTTGAAGAAAGAGACGTCTGTGGCATATCAATTAACGTAGAAGAAAAAGAAAACAGATGCAGTTGCACATGCAAATGACCGAAGAGCCCAGCTACATAGATAGGGCCACAGGCGCCCGCTGAATGGGATCCTGTCCGTTTAGAAATAATTCATTAATCAATAGAAGAATTCAAAGAAAAATGCGTCTGCTATCACATCAAAATTCATTGATACCTGTGAAAACCGCGTAAATACCTGTCTCCCAAAAATTAAACTTGGCTCGTGATCGGTAGAAATTAAAATGAGATTTTTAGAGAGTTTTAATAAAAGTTAATCAAATATATGATTAAAAAATTATAGACCCTATAAAATATGTGATTGTAATTAATTGTTAAATTTAACTTAAATAAAGATATAAATTTTAATTTCCACCAAACATAAACTAGTCTCCTTTCCCATCATCTTAACATTCAAAATAGACAAAAAGATTCTTGCTGACAATCGCAGTGAGAGAGTTCGATTCCCGAAATATGGAATTGGACTCTTTATAGATATCAGTGTATAAGCAAACTCTTGTTCCCTAACCTGTTGGAGCACATCCCGCAATTTACCTCACTCACGATACTCCAGAAGCAGGGCAGTAAAGGCTCTCAAGGTTGGGGTTCAACCTTTTTTTTTTTTTTTAAATAGACAAAAAGACAAATATCCATTTATAGATAGATAGATGGAGAGACAAAATTGTCAACCTAGCCTCCTTTTACGAAGAATTTATAAAAGATTTACTTTACAAATAAATAAAAATAAAAAATAAATACTATTTGTGATCTATTGAAATGTGTGAGTTTTATCGTTTATAAATGATTTAAGAATTTTGTCAAATGATTAGCTAGTATTTTTCATTAGTATTTTCGGCTCACTTTCGTCGCTTTAGTCATTCTTGAATAATATCATATAACACCAACTTATGTTTAAAAAAAAAAATTATATATATATCACTAATTTTATTTCGTAAATTACATAAATAGTGTTACTTGTATATAATAGAGTTACATAATTTACATATAGATGATATGTTAAAAATGAAGTAAGTAAGAATTTTTTTTTTTTTTATTTACAGAAGTTATGATTCAATCATGTCTCACCACATGTATGTATATAAATAATCGAAAATGATCTCCTAAGTATATCATTTAAATGGTGAATAAATTAATAGTAAGTCCCATAAATTTAATATTTATCAATTTAATGGTGTGCTATGGTTTAACATAAGTTAAGTACCGATACTTGAAAAATCATTTTTCTATAAATCATTATGTATATGTAGTACAATCAAAATTACATTGTTATCTGAATGAATGCAAGCGCTCTATCGTAACATTGTACATTGTTTTAAGGGCTAAAAGGTGTATGTAGTGCTATGGGGTCCGACTTCATCGCCTAGATAAATACTTCAGTAGGACGATCGCACCGTCAACATGGTGCGACCATCCTATAAGGAAGGGTCATCTCAGCGGATGGCCCACCGCACACCTCGAGGTGTATGGGTCACCCGTCGACATGAAACCTCGACATTGAACGATGCGACTGTTTTACTGAAGTATTTTTCTGTCACCCATGTTAGATGTTGGCCCCACCTCACGCGCTTACCTAAGGTATTCAACAATTTTTTGTCTTCCACCAGATTTCTCGTAATCATATGACCGTTTATCATAATTAGCTGTAAACAAACACCATACGGCCCTTTTTCTATTATGTTCTGTCATTTTCTATGTTAATCATGACTAATATCATTCAGCTGTACAAAAAGTCCTTAGCAATGTATTTCAATAAATACAGTTTAAATTTTTTTTTCCTGTTTTTTGACGTCAATACAATTGACCTTACCTAGCCTCCGTTTCGCTAATTTATAAATTATTAAACTTCATTTTCAATCACATATTTCAATGAATTCATAATTATTATCCAATTATTTACTATTCATTTAAAAATAAGAGTTGAGTGTCTTAACTACCCATTGCAGACAAAGACTTTGAGTACAAGCCATGATATAGACAAGTATCATGTGATCACATTGACTGAATAATTAAATTTTGAATAATTTTCTCTTTTTTTTTTTTTTGGTATATCTAGGTATCCCAACTTACACCAGATTAAATCCTAGACCTCCAAGACCCATGCCCCTAGAACCTTAGAGGGGGTAAATCGCGAAATATGCTTCAACTGGATCACAAGTTCCCCTCATTGACTGTACACTTCTGCGCACAAGAGACCCTCCTCCACAGTGATTGCTCCATACCAAAATTTTTGGCCGCAGGTTCCCACCAGAAATCGAACTCTCCACCCTGCCGCTGGAAGCAAGCCAATGTTGATTGATCCACCAGTTGAGCGGTGCCCCGAGGGGCAATTTTGAATAATTCTTGGTGTATATTATGGGGGGCGCCATGTGTGCATTATGGACACCATGTCCATAATGTACCCATAGTAAATCCCTTAAAATTTCCACACTCCATTGCCTAAATTGGTAGCCTTTAAGATGTTGTCGTTACTCAGTATTCAATGTGATAGAGTTTTGCTTGGATTGAATTAGATCGTGATATGGATGAAGAGATATTTTTTTCTCCCTTATTTTTTAAGTGATCGAATCTATCTTCTTTTTTGTACAATGAAAATGAGAAAGGTTAATGGTCCACAAAACCAAGAGAACGTAAATAATTATTCATGACAGCATGCTTTTTGTTAAAGGTTGAACCCCAACCTTAAGGGCCCCGACCGATCCTTCCCTGGGTCATCGTGGAGGAGGTAAATCGCAGGATGTGCCTCCTAGGAGTCAGGGTGGAGAGCACATGGATAGGTCAATGCTGTTAACCTATATGGTAACTCCCGCTTGCAACAAAGCCAATTCCACCTTGCGGGGAATCGAACTCTGCACACTGCCGCGCTGAACCCTATCCGCCCTCCCCTTTGCCACTGGGAGATATGCCCTGGGGGCAGCATGCTTTTTGTTCGTTCTATGGAAGGAGACTTGGGACAACTGAGTTTTTGCGAAGTCAAAATCTATTTTCGAAATTAAGAAGTTTTTTTTGAAAATGTTTGAATACTCTTTTGAAAATGCTTTGTATGACTAGAAAAGTTTTTAGAGAAAATTAACTTATACAAGAAGCAGAAATAAAGTAGAAATCCTACCAAAAGGATTCTTGCAGATTTGACTATACTATGCCACTGTTTGGTTTTGATGAAAATAAGATTTTTAGTAAATTTAGATAAATGTTGATGAAATGTGTAATTGAAAAATTAAAAGGAACGATATAATGCATGATTAAAATTAATTGTTATCTTTGACTTATATTTTAATTTTAAAATTAACTTATACAAGAAGCAGAAATAAAGTAGAAATCCTACCAAAAGGATTCTTGCAGATTTGACTATACTATGCCACTGTTTGGTTTTGATGAAAATAAGATTTTTAGTAAATTTAGATAAATGTTGATGAAATGTGTAATTGAAAAATTAAAAGGAACGATATAATGCATGATTAAAATTAATTGTTATCTTTGACTTATATTTTAATTTTAATTTTTATCAAAACCAACAGAATTGATCTCCTAAATGTCGATTCTTAGTTTATACTAAGATCTACTTGATGTAGCACATTACAATATGTGGTGTAATCAATTTTGTAACCAATCATTATTTCACACCACCTATTATAGTATACCACGTAGGTACGTAGGAGATCAATCCTGCTTAAATCAAATTGGGGCTAAATAATCAACTTAATTATTATGGTGGTGGTCGTATATCTTAATTATTATTATTGTCCAAACCTAGGACTGACATAAATAATTAAATCAAACATATGTATATAAGACAAAAACCTTTCTTTTTTATTGCGTTATTAAAATTCGATATGGGTTTTGCAATTGATAGCCAATCATTTGCTTCAAGGGGCTGTCCATCCAGTTGTAATCATGTTTTAAACAATGCCGTTTACGGTTTACTCGTCCAAGTAGTTCCGTATAAATCATTTAACCCCTGTTTGATTAAAATTAAAATCAAATTCTTTAATACATTTTAATAAAAATTGATGATACGTGTTGTTAAAAAGTTATAAATTCTATGAAATATTTGGTTGAAATTAATCGTTGACTTTAAATTTAATTGAAATCTGAATTTTTAATCCTTGCCAACAAATTAAAATATTTCTTCAAATTATTCCTAGCTGGATTAATTTCAAACGTATTGAATTAGTCGTGGTGCATATCACATGAAGAATCTATCAGACCGTCACTCTAGAATTAAAGATTTGCAATTTTAGTACAACAAAAGGTATTATTAAAATCATGTCATAACGTGAACTGAATCTGGCCAACATTTGAATATTTGATCCTTTGTTTCTTTCATTGTTTCACCAAATTATGCAAATAATCATGCCAAGCCAACTGGTATTAATTGATAGATCGATATTATAAGATAAGGTCAAGAACCCTATTCCCACCTGTGGGACCCATTTGCCAGAAGGGCAAGAAAACACAATGTTCACTACATGACCTTCAATCCTCATTCTAAACTACATAAACTCACTCCCCTCTTCCTCCATTGCCTAAGGGACCACTCTTCTTTCGTTCAGAAAAATACATTTTGCTAACAATGACTCGACCGCAACAACGATACCGGGGCGTTCGGCAGAGGCATTGGGGCTCTTGGGTGTCCGAAATTCGCCACCCTTTATTGTAAGTATTTAGTATATTATCATATTTCGCGAGTTTTTCCCCACAAGTGTGGTACCAAAACTGAAGTAACTTTGTTTGGGTGTGGTGCAGGAAGACTAGACTTTGGCTAGGCACGTTTGAGACAGCAGAAGATGCAGCAAGAGCCTATGACGAAGCAGCCAGGCTAATGTGTGGTCCGAGGGCTAAAATGAACTTCCCTTATGATCCCAATGTGTCACATTCATACTCCTCCAAGCTTCTTTCAGCCACATTAAAAGCAAAATTGCACAAATGCTACATGGCTTCACTTCAAATCACAAAGCAATCAATGCAACACCCTCAAAGAGTTCCTCCGGCCATCGGCAATGCTAACGAAACCAGGTTTTGGTCACCGGAAAATAAGCCGACTGAGTCGACAACTCCACATGAAGAGGCGAAGAAGGAAGTACAAGTACTGGACAGCTCATGCACACAACAGTTGATCGAGCCACTTGAAGAAGACCATATTGAACAAATGATTGAAGAGCTTCTTGATAATGGACCCGTTGAGCTCTGCACTGTTGTGCCATCCCAGGATATGCAAACTAGTTCTGGCCTATTTGTACAAAACGGTGGGATTAAAAATATTTGTTTCCCGAACTGTAGCTAAAAATAAGATTTTTAGTAGATTTTGGTAAAAAATGATGAAATATGTGATTGAAAAATTGATAAAAATTGTGAATCTCGTTAAATATGTATGCTTAAAATTAATTGTTTAATTTTACTTAAAATTTTATCAATTTCAAAACAAGGGCCTTAGTTTAATGTGGCTTAATTAAGTTGCAGCCCTATTATTTTTATTCCATTTTCTCTCTCACTCCAAGAATTGTTCCTATTGTCTGAGTTGGTAATTTTTTTTTATACTAAAAATTTATTTATTTGTATTAGGATTTAGGTCTTTTCTCTGTGATGCGGAAGATGGCAATTTGACATGGCATCAACATATTTAGTTACGAAAAAAAGGAAACAGAATTTAATGGAATTATCAGATTCAAACATAAAGTAAAATTTAACATTATTTACCCTCTTTGCAAATTCTTCCTCAATTATAGTGGTTTGACTAGACGGTCGCCCCGACCGCCAATCACGGATTCATGATGTACAGACACAAGTATTAATTATTAAGCTAATTAATGTCATCTTAATATTAATGGACTTTTTCTCTGTAACACACCCATTTATGTTTTCGAATGATACTCTCAAGTTTCGTATCAATAGAATTTATTGGAAGTCGCAAACATGTAATTTGTCTTATTATGCAAAACTTCAAACCAAGAAATAGTAAAATCACAGAGTACTTTCAAAATCATGCATATCATACAGTTCCTTGTAGGGATGGCAGTGGGGCAGTTTCGGGGCGGGGATACAGTTCCTTGTAGGGATGGCATTTTTTTTTTTTAAAATTTCAAATCATATTATTATTAAAGAATAAAATATAAAGTAAACACTTGAAATAAACAATGTTAAAAATTAAACAATTTCAAATAAAATTATGTTTTGACTAAATTTTATTTCTTTTGTAATTAATTAAAATTTTACATTTGTATTTTATTATCTAATAATAATATAACTTGAAATTAAAAAACAAAAAAATTTACTGGGCGGGCTCGGGGCAGGGCACCCCCACCCCGCCCCGCCAACCCATCGGGGCGGGTTTTTTTGCCATCACTAGTTCCTTGCACTCAATCAATGATACTGAGGAAATTGAAAGGCTCAAGACTCGGACTCAATTTTACCCTTCTGTTTGGCCACTTAGAACCTTAACCCTTGATCCTAACAACCGTGCTAGGCTTACACAGGTCTCTGTAAAGCCACACACATACGAGTCCACGTAAAAAAAAATTTAATACATGTGGGGTCCCTGTACAATGAGAGGCCCTATAAAACACCTATAAACTATTGCTATGTACACTGGACATTATTCTGATCCTAAAGCATTCCGTTATTGACTAAAGGAAGTAACGTGGAATCATGTTATTACTCTCTTTCATAACCATTTGAGACTTATTTTTGGCTAAGAATGCATTTTAAATTAATAAATTGATGGAGAATGTGTGATTAAAAAATAAGGAAAATATTTGAATTTTAAAAATAATGAGAATCAAACAAGAGCTTGTAAAGATTTCGCAAAGAAAATAGAAAAATTGACGGAACGCATTTTCAACAATGGATTCGGATTGTTGGGCCAGCCAATAATGAGCAGTATTAAAGGAAGTGTTCGACTACAAGTTTACAACCTTTCTTCAACTTCCTTGGATTGGACGAGAAAGTAAATGCTTTTTGAATTTGGGTAGCGACTTTTGGAAACTGTTTCTGCTTCTCTTTCTTTATGGCTATGGGATTGCTGCTGCAAAAGTCAAGGGATGATACATTGATTTTCTTTGCCCCCACCCCCACCCCCACCCACACTCTTATTCTTTGTTCTCCTCTTTCGTGACCGGTAACGTAAATTTGACGAGTTCGACCAGACATGATTAAAGAAAAAATGTACTACCACAAGTCAATGTGATACAACATAAGTAAATGCTAAATAGAAAAGGCAAATACAAATTACAATCGAGGCATTTGATTTCTGTTGAAGATAATTTTGATTCAATTAAATTGTCCCTTGACATTTGACAACCAAGAGAATTCTACTTTTTAGCTTTATATGCAAAAAGAACCAACTGTTCTAATTGTTATGATTAATGTTACCTGTAAATTGCAAATTGATTCTAGTTTTTACTTTGTCATATTTTTAGGAATTATAGCTCAATTTTTATTTATTGCACAACATTTTAATTACACGTAATGTCCTCCCCTTTTCATTATAATGTTTATGTTCCTAATTTTTTTTTCATACAAATTTTATCTTTAACCTTTTATTAATTAGTATATCTCATCCTTGATGATAGTTCTATCAAAATACTTTATTTGCAGAATTGAAACGAGGGAAAAATATTGTATCACGCTTTTGCATTTTTTATTAACATAATGGATAAACAAGAAATTTTATGCACTCCCAACATACCTTTGGATGAAATTTTTTAGCATAGATGAGATGTTAAAATTAATGGAAGGTCGAAGATAAGAATATACTGAAAAAAAGTTAGAAAATAAGGGCTACCATGAGAAAAGATTGAAGGCCTTTAAGAGCAAATGAAATGTGGATTAACTAATAAAAACTATGGTATGAATTATAATTACGTTACTTTTAGATATAAGTTTACTGTCATTATTTATTTGAATTATGTGACCTTTCAAATTTCACCTCGCCAAAGGTGGACCAATTACTTTATCCCAGTCCATGTGTAGGGTCCTTTCTGAATAAATTAACTTTCTTTTTTCTTTTGCTTTTTTCTCTTTTGAAAGAACGGGTGAATATTTTTCTCTTAATTTTTAGACTAGGTCTTGGAATGTCTCACAATAAGTTAATGTGCATTTTAAATGTTAACATTCACATTCTAAGTTGAATTTAAATTTGGTAGAAACTAAACTAGATGGTATTGAAAAGCAAATAACATGTTAATCGAGTATAGTTGATTACGCAAAATGCTAAGAAAAGATCGAAATTGGAAGAATTTCGGCATTTTATAAAACTATACAATAACCAATCAAATCTAATTTTAGCTTTTAAGATACGGTTGGTGCATCAAATTAGACTCTATATGAAATTTAGAATCAATTTGTAACAAATGTCATCAATAACGTGTATATGATATTATAGTGGAAGAGTCCCCCGAGGCATAACTCAACGGTGTAAAAGATATGAATAAGGTAATTTAAGCCTTATTGGCAGTCGCAATGTGAGAGTTCGATTCCTGAAATATGGAATTGAACTATTTGTGAACACCACTATACGAACAAGCCCTTATTCCCTGATATGTTGGGGTACATCCCACGATTTACTTCTCTCACGATACTCTAGGAGTGGGGCGGGGCGGTGGAGGCCCTCAAGGTTGAAGTTCAACCTTTTTATTATAGTGGAGTAAGGTAGAAACTTATTATTATTATTATTATTATTATTATTTAGTACATAATTTCTTATTCTGCCTAAATTCATATTCTACTTCCTTTCTATGTTTTATGTTTGTAGAGCAAATGACTATGAATAAAAAATGAGAAAGTAGTATCCATATGAACACCACGGACCTACTAGATCAAATAAAATATTACTAAATTAAGTAATTGGCCCAAAACCAAGTGGGCTCAAGAGACCGATAAGTTCTGTTTAGAGCCTCATTTTTCCATGGAAAAATGGTATTTTTCCTCCAATTTTGATATAGTTGATTGGATTAAAGTAATCGGCTGAATGACTGATTAATTTAATTCTAAGTAATCAAATATGCTAAATCATGTTATGATTTTATCAAATTTGAGTATTTCAAAAAGATGCACAACTTTCGAATAATTTCCTACTTCTGCGAAATTTTGTACCAAAGGGAAGCAAACGTGAACAAAATGAACGAGTATATAAATAATTTTGGACTAATAAATACTAAATTAAAAAAAGAAAAAAACTATTCATTCGTAGAATTTCAATTTTAGCTCTATTGAAGATTTAGGCACTGTAGGAAGGGTACAAAATTTCAAAACCCTCAACCTACCTTGTTCTTGCTTTTACGCCACTAGCTTTTCTCTCCATTTTTAGTCCTATTTATACGTACACAACATTATTTGAGCGTTGATAAATAAGTTGCATAATTGGACAGTAATTTTAGTAACTTGTGATTAACTTTATATTCACATATTTTCTACAATTCATAACTTATAATCACTTCCCAAAGAAAAAGAAAAAATAAAAAAAAAGATGCACAGATGCATAGGAAAATGAAAGAATCAAAAAAAATATTTCTCGAGAATTGATGAAAAATAACTTTTGTTTTACTTTCTTATTTTCTTGAAGAAAATCAAGAATCAATCTTAAGTTGAGATCAACTGTTTTTGGTTTTTTTTCTTCGGAAGATTTGCATATTACACCTTTAAGCTTCCAAAAAAAGTTGAGACATATCCCCAACCAAATTTATTGGTATCATTCATCCTCAACCTTCCAATTAATTACCATTGTTCGTCCATGTGGACAAATTCCGTCTATGTTCTTCTATGTCCTTCGTTGTGTGGCTCATGTACACTTCTCCTTCTTTGGTCAGATCTTCCAATATTTTCACAATTACTACAGTTCACTACGCCCTTTCCTAGAAAGTAAAGGGGCTTGATTTCTTTTATCAAAATTAAGTGTTTAAAAGGAGAAAGGGAAAAGAGTTTGTCCACTAAAGCCTTCCCTAGGGATAGGAATGGAGAGGCTCGGGGAAGAACATTGCCTTCCCCACCTCGTTGGAAATTTCTTGGAGTTGGAGCAGGGCGAAGATTAAAGCATCATTTACCATCCCGTTTTACTAATTAATCTTTCTTTAATGTGATTTAAATTAAAAAATATAAAATATAAGTAAAATAAAAAGATTCGGGGCGAGCTCGAAAAAATCCAGATGGGACTATGTTCCCCTACCTCGTTTACTATATGGGACAGGACAGGACAGGACAAGAATAGAGAATTTTGCCTTTCCTAACTTTCCCTCCCTTTATGTCCATTGTTTATTTAGAGCCTGTTTGGGAGTGAATTTGAAAATTGATTTTTTAACCGTTAGGAGAAAAGTGGGGTCCACGCGTGAGAGAAGAAATCAAATATGACAGCTGGAATAGTGAAATAACGTTCAAAAAATCAAGTTTTTGGATAAAAAATCACTCCCAAACAGGTCGTTACTATTATCGTGACATCCATTTCCTGGCAATATACTTATTTTACAAAGAAAATGGTAAAGTTAGCAGGAACCCAAAAAAAAAAAAAAA